TCTTGTATAAGGAGGAAATGCCTTTGGTTTGTTTGCTGAATAGTCAAACTCCAATAGTTGTTACTCCATATGCTACTTACAGAACTGAGTTGTTTCAGTGACTATGTATATAAAAATATTTTTATGAATTAAGTATATTTGAAATTAAAAAAACCAAGTAATTTAATACAGACTATCTGATGCTACTATCTCCTCACTTTTCAGATTATGAGATTCGCTGCATCATTTCACCGGCATAATGGATGTTCAGGTCACGTGCTCCCATGCATCTGAGAATTCCATTATTTAATAACCTAGGGTAGCTGGCAAAGTTTGACTTGCCTACAGTCATTTCCTTTCTGGAAAAATATAATTGGAGCTCCCATCACATTTTGGTTCCTGAATCACGGCATTCACTCATCAGGGAGCCAAAAACTGCAGCAAATGTGAACTAATAACCTGCATTTGTTTTGATGTCAGAAGAGACTCAAATTTTGTTTTGTTAGAACCATAATCACCCTTGTTGATCTTTGAGGCCCATTAAATCAATTTAATGACACTGTGGCAAGGCACTTCAATGCACATCGACAAACGCGGCATTACATGACTCTGCTAGTTGTGGATTTATGATCCTATGGCTGGTGCATCAGAACTGAAGTCGTGAACATGGACCGTGTTTCCGGTAAATGACTTCTTGTACTGATGAAAGGTCATTGACAAAGAACGTCAACCGTCTCTCTCTCTCTCTCCCCCCACAGATGGCACCAGACATACTGAAAAATTATTACTTTTGATCTCAAATCCAAATTTTCAGCGTCTGCAGCATTTTCACTTTCATGTCATGGTAATTTTGAAAACTGGGTACCCCTGTATGCCTAAGACATCAGTGCAAACTTACAAACATCAAGATGTTTGTGAATGCTTTGGTTCATCAGAAAGTGGTTGAAGGAATGCAATTTTAAAAAAAAGTAAATAAGACAGTTATAATTTTTTTAAAAATATTGAAACATGAAGCATTTCTACATATTGGGTTGACAAATCAACCAACGTCTACAGAAAACAGTCTGGCATTAATAATACTGCATTTTCAATTCAGTTAATCAGTGTGTTTTTCCTACATTTCATACTTCAATTTCACAAATTTCACACAAATTTAGAATCACATGTGGAACGTGCCAGAAAAAAAAGTATTTGTCAACTGAGAATGACTGATTGAATACAAAAAAAAACATTGACCAGTAACTCTCAGAACTGCAAAGGATGGCATTCCAAAAGATTGCATTTCATAATTAAGCATCCTCTGAAAGTAGAACGGTCAATGAAATGCTCGTAGCCCTCATTCATCAAGCAGAAGTTGACATCATGCTGTGAATCAATGCTGCATAATTGAAGTCTCCAACCCATGCAGAGACAGGTCTTGCATATTAAAACCCTACAGGAAAGAGCACTGCAAAACATTCATCCAAAACACCCCAATCAGCCTCAGGCAACTTCCCCTGCTGCTTCGTTTTCTTGTCACATTTATATCCAGTGAACTGATTTCCATACTGTTCTGTGGGTGTTGGCCCACAAGGAGTTTGCTTACATTTTAAAGTGGATTTCAGAGGACCAGCATCAAGCTGATGCATGTGTTTTTTTTCCAGAAATAATAGCCACTGTTTATTGATAAATGCAGAACGTTGTCTATGCTAGAGAAAGGAGACATTATACATTGCTGGCTACTACAGGCAGGGTGAATGTACATAAAAATTTCTGAAGGGTCTAGGCCCGAAACGTCAGCCTCTCTGCTCCTATGATGCTGCTTGGCCTGCTGTGTTCATCCAGCCCTGCACCTTGCTGTCTCGGATTCTCCAGCATCTGCAGTTCCTACTATCTCAGATACAGCATTTGGCCACTTTCATTCTCCACATGGGCTCAGTTCGTTAATATAGTGCGCTGAGCCATCCAGACCAGGGTGTTTTCAGCTACAAACCCTGATCTATGTTATATGACTGATTTCAACCAAAGCAATGATAAAAATGCAGCAACAATTAAGGATGATAATTCTTAGATATGATTACTCCAGTAACTGTTAAAATTGCAGTTGACTCGAGACAATATGAGACTCAGCTGCAGAATACCTCCTTTCCAGCCCACAGACAACTGAGTAAGTTAGACTTGTATTAATAAGATAATACTCCATGATAACATATTTGCAACTTAATGAAGAGGCAACTGACTTTCAAAGAAGGTCAGAAACTGCCTCTAAAGAGAGGTCATTTTATACTCCATAACCACTATAGGAATAAATTATAGCTCAAAAGCTGGGTACCTTACAAAAACATTTACGTTAGATAATTTCTCCAGCAGCCCAAACTAAGTAACAGCATGCAAGCAAGTAAGGGTCTAGGCCCGAAACGTCAGCCTTCCTGCTCCTCTGATGCTGCTTGGCCTGCTGTGTTCATCCAACTCTACACCTTGTTATGTCAGATTCTCCAGCATCTGCAGTTCCTACGATCTCTGGCTATTTAAATGTTTTGCTGGCTATAATGGTATAAGGAACTACACAGTTTGTAGGTGATTGAAAAGTACTGCCTTCTTTCAGCCATAGAATAAAAGCAATAATATGGGGAACTAAAATTATATGAAATTAAAGAATAAGTGCTAAGTGATTCCATGGGCATATAATGAGCCTGAAAATGGACTAAATCTTACACCATCATCAGTAACATCCTGTGTTAAGACTATTGCAATGGCTGCTGACAGAGATTTGCAAACAGTTTGATGGTTTGAACAATTTACACTTAATGTGAATACCAATGCAAAGTGAGATAATTTTCTACTCAACAGGCTGTACCAGGAGACTCCAGTATCTCAATCAAATGGCCACCTTCCACAGCTTGCGACCAGCTATGGAGATCATAGTGCAGTTCACTTTTGTTCCCACCTGATGACTACATGGGTACAATTTTCAGCAGAAGCTAGGACATTGCGATCAGCAGCATGATGTTTCTCTTTCCGAATGTGGAGGGTGTGATTCGCTGACTGAGATCACGTACCTCAGTGGAAACTGGGAAAGCAAACCCAGGAATGAACTGTTAACTTTTAGAATCTGCAAACTCCTAAGAAATAGCACACATGCCTGGCTTTATTTTGTTTCAATTATATCTGGCAAGGACATATCCACAAACAACTGCTGAGTGCTTGTGGAGATCTGATGAAATATATAAAAATGCATTACAGAAAACTGTGCGCGTTAAAAGTTTACACAGTGGCTATTTTGAATGCAGTTTCACAGAACCAAATTCTACGTTTATGTTTAAAGTTATACACTGAAAATGAGTATCCAATGTCATCTTGCTGCTATTTCAATGCATCTAAGCAGCTTTAATAACCGAAGACAATCATGGAAGTAGATTTATGGCTTTCAAATCATTACCTCAAAACAAAAAGAACACACACAACGCACAGAATGTTCAGAAAGTTAAACATATCCTGTATTTTCTAAAAGCTATGATTGTGAATATCACTCTGCGCACTGCAAATGATATCCAAAATCTGTACAAAACTGTTAAAATTCTTCAAAGTATTAAAACAAATCCAGAAATGGAACAAAAGTACTGGGTGGTGTGATCATCTTCAGTCTTCATCAGAGAAATGTATATGCTTGCCAGCTTTGTGTGTCTTGGCCACAATTATTTTCTCGGCCTTGCCAATCAACTGCAACGCAAAGACAGCGGATAAGTTTTAGGTAATGACTATTTCCAACAAGAGAGAATCCAACTTTTGTCCCAATTAATGGCTCCTCACTATCAACATCTTGTGGGTTACCATTGACCAGAAACTGAACTTGAAAAGCCACACAAATACTGTAGCTATAGGAGAAGGTCAAAGGCTGAGAATTCTGTGGCAGGTAACTCACCTCCTGACTCCTCAAAGCCTGTCTATCATCTACAAGGCACAAGTCAGGATGAAATAATCCCCACTTGTCTGGTACTCATCTAAGACATTCAGCATTCACTTCTGCCATTACTGGCGCAATGGTAGGAGATTGCACTATTTACGAGAGGCACTGCAACAACTCATTAATGCCCCTTAGGCAGTACACTCACCACCTCAAGGAACAAGGGCAGCAGATGCGTGGTAAAGTGGGATTCTTGAGTCGTACTGACAAATCGAGGACCGTGATAATTGAGGATCAATACAAGTCTGGAATCATAGAATCACACAATACTTGCAGTGTGGAAAGAGTCTGCTTGGCCCATCGAGTCTGCACTGACTATCCGAAGAGTATCCCACCCAAACCCAGCCCCCTTGTCGATCGCCATAACTCCTCATTTACCATGGCTAATCTACCTAGACTGCATATCCCTACACACTACAGATAATTTAGAATAAAAAAAAACCTGAAAGAACTGTGGATGCTGGAAATCTGAAACAAACAGAAATTGCTGGAAAATCTTAGGTCTGGCAGGATCTCAGAGTCAGAGATGTACAGCACAGATATAGCTCGTTCATGCCTACCAGATATCCTAAATTAATCTAGTCCCATTTGCCAGCATTTGGTCCAAATCCCTCTAAACCCTTAATATTCAGATCTCCATCCAGATGCCTTTTAGATGTTGTAATTGTACCAGCCTCCCCCACTTCCTCTGGCAGTTCATTCCATACACGCACCACCCTCTGCATGAAAAAGTTGTCCCTTAGGCCCCTTTTCAATCTTTCCCCTCTCGGCTTAAACCTATGCCCTCTAGTTTTGGACTCCGCTGTCCCAGGCAAAAGACCTTGCCTATTTACCTAATCTATACTCATCATTATTTTATAAACCTGTATATGGTCACCTCTCAGCCTCTAACGCTCCAGCCTATTCAGCCTCTTGCTAAAGCTCAAACAATCCAACGTCAGCAACATCCTTGTAAATCGTTTCTGAATCCTTTCAAAAGTTAAAATTCTAAATTGGAGGAGGGCCAATTTTGATGGATTTAGGCAAACACTTTCAAAAGTTGACGGGGGCAGATGTTTGCAGGTAAAGGGATGGCTGGAAATGGGAAGCCTTCAAAAATGAGATAACGAGAGTCCAGAGATAGTATGTTCCTGTCAGGGTGAAGGGCAAGACTGGTAGGTGCAGGAAGCGCTGGATGACTAGAGAAATTGAGGTTTTGGTCAGGAAAAAAAAGGAAGCATATGTCACGTAAGGACAGCAGAGATCAAGTGAATCCTTAGAAGAGTACAAAGGCAGTAGGAGTATACTGAAGAGGGAAATCAGGAGGGCAAAAAGGGGACATGAGATAACTTTGGCAAATAGGGTGAAGGAGAATCCAAAGGGATTTTATAAATACATTAAGGACAAAGCAGTAACTGGGGAGAGAATAAGACCCCCTAAAGATCAACAAGGCCGCCTGTGTGTAGAACTGCAGGAGATGGGAGAAGATACTAAATGAGTATTTTGTGTCAGTGTTTACTGTGGAAAAGGATATGGAAGATATAGAACACAGAGCAATAAATAGTGACATCTTGAAAATGTCCATATTACACGAGGTGCTGGATATCTTAAAATCCATAAAGGTCGATAAATCCCCAGGACCTGATCAGGTGTACCCTAGAACTCTGTGGGAAGCTAAGGAAATGATTGCTGGGCCCCTTGCTGAGATATTTGTATCATTGATAGCCACAGGTGAGGTGCTGGAAGACTGGAGGTTGGCTAATCTGGTACCATTGTTTAAGAAAGGTGGTAAGGAAAAGCCAGGGAACTATAGGCTGGTGAGCCGGACATCAGTGGTGGGTAAGTTGTTGGAGGGAATCCTAAGGGACAGGATTTAAATGTATTTGGAAAGGCAAGGACTGATTGGGGATAGCCAACATGATTGTGTGTAGGAAATCATGTCTCACTAATCTGATTGAGTTTTTTGAAGTAACAAAGAGGATTGATGAGGGCAGAGTAGTGGACGTGATCTATATGGACTTCAGTAAGGCATTTGACAAGGCTCCTCATGGCCGACTGGTTAGTACGGTTAGATCACACGGAATACAGGGAAAACTAGCCATTTGGATACAGAACTGGCTCAAAGGTATAAAACAGAGGATAGTGATGGAGGATTGCTTTTCAGACTGGAGGCCCATGATCAGTGGTGTGCCTAAGCATCTGTGGAGAGAAATCAGAGTTAACATTTCAGGTCAAGTTCTGAAGAAGCATCACTGGAATAGAAACGTTAACTCGGATTTCTCTCCACAGAGGCTGTCAGACCTCCTGAGATTTCCCATCAATTTTTGTTTTTGTCGGACAATTTAGTGTGACCGATCCACCTAATCTGCACATCTTTGGACTGTGGGAGGAAACTGCAGCATCCAGCAGAAACCCACACAGACAGGGGGAGAACATGTAAACTCCACACAGTCACGCAAGGGTGGAGTCAAATCTGGGTCCCTGGTACTGTGAGGCAGCAGAGCTAACCACTGAGCCACCGTGCCGTCTAAAAGCACATAGGGTATTACCTCTGGGTGGCTGTTGCTGAATGAAGTAAGGTTTTAATGTTGTTACAAACAACTGAATGCAGACACACACACAAAATCAAAGCGCAGGGTGCACTCTGCCTTGTGGATGACAATAAGGGAACACCTTGAGACGGCAGTTAAAAGTGATTAGACAAACTCAGTGAAACAAGCACTCGACGGTTACCACTGTCTGCGTCAGCACAATAAAACTGAGGAAATAAGATTCATATACATCTGGAGTCTGCATAAATCCTGTGTATCCAGCCATGACAGGCTAAGTAATTGTACCAAGCAAGCTGACTGGGCCGAGCGACTGTCTATAAACCTTGGATCCACCACTGTTTGGTGACAGTGAGTGTAGAGTGTAGAGTGCTCAGAAGGCTAAATGAAGGCTTGACTTTCCTCAGCACATTAAATAAACCATTAGAATTGGAAACTCAACAGTAGTATTGAGGTCTTTATTCAATCTCTACTACAGATATGAACAGACTGGTTGTAAATTCTCCTCCTAAGCACACACACCATCCTTGAAACTACATCACCATCCCTTCATTGTTGCTGGATCTAAGTCCCTTAATTCCCTTCCTGTATCTTCCCTGTGGGTGAAGCAACTCATCATGGGTTGCACTGGTTCAAGCAGGCAGCTCACCCACTTCCTCATGGCAATAAATGCTTATCCTGGCCAGCAAAGACTACATTCCATGAAGGAATTAAAATAATTGTTTATTCCTTTATCTCAGTTCACTTAGTGGAGGAGAAACAGTCTGACTTAAGATAAAATTTCAGATTCACTCCGATGTTCTCAAGATTAATTAGGGATGGGCAACAAATGCTGGCCTAGCCAGTGACACTGATGTCCTGTCAACAAACAAAGAATTTTGACTTCTGGACCTAAAATATTAACTCTGATTTCTCTCCAGAGACCTGCTGAGATCTTGCAGCAATTTATTTTTAATTCTGATTTCCAGTATCTGCAGTTCTTTCGGTTTTTAGAAAATTCACCAGGTTGAGAATGCACTTGATGTATTCAAAGGATGATGTCTTTTTTAACTACCTTCTCCATGCCCCGTTTTTTGTCCCGGGGTCGGTTTAGTTTTGCTTGTCGATCCACCAATATCTTCTGCCAATAGCGTTGTTCACTGTCACCTTTGGATAGAAAACAAAAACAAATGCAAGAATCCATTAGAATCTAGTTTTGGTGAAAGGTCTCTCTGCAATGTCTCAATGGTCAATGGTCCGCTGATTGATTTCAGCATTCTATTTTCTATTAGCTTTAAAAGCTTTTGTCAGCTGTTGGGATGATTTTCTATCTTGTTCTCATTCAAAAGGTGCAAGACTTTATTGATTTGCCTCCCATATTCCACCAAAACAGCTGTTTCCATTTTGAGGATCCTGTGTATCAAGTTTCCAGGAGATGAAAAGAGAAAGAAATGATAGATTCTCCTTATTCATTCGTCACCAATGGCCATCACTCTATGGTGTTCCAGAACAAGGAGTTGACCCTGACTGAGTGTTGCAGACTGACACATTCCAAGGTCCAGGGCCATGTGCTGAGGGATGAACTAAAGCTTGGGTTCTGAGGAAGCGTCACCAGACCTGAAACGTTAACTCTGCTTTTTCCTTCACAGATGCTGCCAGACCTGCTGAGCTTTTACAGCAACTTTGTTTTTGTCACTAAAGCTTGGGACAGCTGCTGCCAAGGAATGGTGTAGAAAGAACATTATCTAAGTTCTTTCTACCGAAGTTACATGGGGATCTGTTCAGTTCTCAAATATATGTAAATATAATCTTGTACAAGAAAGAAATGTCTTTCATTTGTTTGCTGGATACAGTCACACTCCAATGTTTGTTTTTCATATGTTACTATACAGAACTGAACTGCTTTAATGACTACGTATATAAAGATATTTTTATGAAGAAGGTATATATTTGAAATTTTAAAAAATCATAACACTAACCAGGTGTTGGAACCAGAACTTAATTTCCACTCAAAATGCCTTGGGTGATGGTGCTATTTTTAGTGCTATTGGCTGTCTGAGAATAGACCAGGGATTATTACTCTACTTTCTACCTTAAGCAGCTATGCCACTTCGGGGAACATTTGAAGTTTTTTTATAATATTACAACTTTACGAAGTTGCTGAGATGTGTTAACAAATAACAAAGTGTTAATTTCAATGCTCACTGCAGCTCATATGTACTAAGAGCATAAAGATGATCCCAGAGCATAAAGATGATCCCCAGACTGAATACTTTGAGCTACATGGACACAAATTTTGTTCATAGGATTTGGATTTACTAGATAAGTGTAGGTTTAGATAGGATCTGTTTCAAATATTGAAGGCTGCTAAGGACCTCAAAAATCTTAAACTACATAAGATTATTTGAAGTGATGCACGAAGGAAGACTTATGAGCCACCCATTTAAACAGAGAGAGCAAGAAATTAGACTGGAAGTGTGTAAGTAAGTTATTGTGAGGATAGTCAAAAACAGAGATAAGGAAGGGTAAAGATATAGACAGATCTAAAAACAAGAACGAGAACTTTAATATCAAACTGCTGCTTGACCGGGAGCTATTAGAACTCTTGATAGCACGGGGTAGATGAATACACTCGAGAGTTACAATTTTGGATGGGCTAATGTGTACGGAAAGTAACATATAGGAGACTAGCCAGATGTGTGTTTTAATTGTGAACTCTAAAGATAACTGAGGCATGAATGAGAATTTTTTGGAAAAATTGAATTTTTTTTATTCATTCATGGGATGAGGGCATTTATTGTCGATCCCTAATTGTCCATTGCCACATTGTCATGGGGCTGGAGTCACATGTAGGCCAGACCATGTATGGATGGCAGTTTCCTTCCCTGGAGGACATTACTGAGCCAGTGGATTTTTCTAACAATTGACAATGGATGAATGGTGATCATTAGACTCTTAATTCCAGATATTTATTGAATTCAAATTCAACCATCTGCCATGGCAGGATTTGAACCCAGGTCCACAGAACATTATCTGTGTCTCTGGATTAACAGTCCAGCAACAATACCACTCGGCCATTGCCTCCCTTTTGTAGGCAGGTTATACAGTCTGAATGATTGTGATGTGGTCAAAAACTCATCTCAGACTCAAATATGACACCGATATTGTGAACAGATTCCTTTAGTTTTTGACACACTGAGGAGATGAATAGAATTATTATTACTAGGCAACAGACTCTGGAGTGGGAAATGAAAACAATGGCTGATGTGCTAGTAATTAGTGTAAAGTGTACAAACTCAGTTTCACCTTTTTTGCATCAAGTGACAATGTATTGTCATTTTGGCTCAAATTGTGGCTCAGAAGTTGATAAATGACTAATATCGTAAACCGTTCAGAAATATCTACACCTAAGTGGACAGAGATCCAGACACAGCAAGTACTTTAAAGAGCATGTGTCGATGGTCTTTTTGTGATGTTTATAAATGTAGCTTTATGTGCACGAGGAATTAGGTTGAACGGTTGCCTCGTCCTAACCTTATATCAGTGTTAAAAATTGCATGATAGTATTTTTCCCCCTTTGCTTCCCCTTTGCATATCTGCAGAGATGGATGGCATCCATTCAGCAACATCTCAGAGTGTTTAGTTGAGATGTGCATTGCAATGCTGCCAGGATTTATACAACCCTCTTCACCATCCTCTCACCTCTTCTCCCTTTCAGGCATCCTTCTGTACTCCCCTAACAAACAAACAATTCATGCCTTCATTGTTACTTATTTTTCATTTGCTATGTTATATAACAAAATTCCTATAAATCTTCTGAAAATGGTGAATTATATCGAATACATTTTAGGGTGTTTTGAGAAATAATTCTCAATTTAAGATAACAAAATAGGCAAAGATATTTTCTGACATGGAGTTAAGTGTTTGTGTGGAAAGCTAGATATTGAAAATTTATCAAGCAGACCTGAGAGAAGTTCAAGTTTCCAGTTGTACTTGTTCTGTAGTTCTCGCTGTGCCCTCATCACAGTCTGGGCATCTGCAGGAGTTTTAAACCGAGCATGTCCCTCAGTATCACCTTCAAGCAGGTCCACGTACAAAACCTCAGAAGTTTCCAACAAAGCATCCTTCACACAATAAGTAAACAGTTTATTACAGAGGAGCAATCAAAAACATTATCAGAAAGTGCTGGAAAGATTCAGCAGATCTGGCAGCGTCTGTGGAAACAGACACAGAGTTAAATGTTTCGAATCTAGTCATGTCGGATTTGAAACGTTAACCCCTTCGCAAATGCTGCCAGACATGCTGAGTTTCTCCAGTATTTTTGGTTTTTACTTCAGACATCCAGCATCTGCATTAAGAGAGCTGACGTTTCCGGTCTGGACACTTCTTCAGTAAAATTTTCTGAAGAAGGGTCCAGACCTGAAACGTCAGCTTTCCTGCTCCTCTGATGCTGCTTGGCCTGCTGTGTTCATCCAGCTCTAAGCCTTGTTATCTCAGATTCTCCAGCATCGGCAGTTCCTACTATCTCTCAGCATCTGCATTATTTTGCTTCTACAAAAAAAATTCATGTTTGAAATAGGAAACCAATGAATGCAGAATCATGGTAGTGGCACATCTTCCATCTCATTCCTATCCTTCTTCAATTTTGATTATTTCAATTCAGTCTGCTGTTTAGATCGCATACACTATTGCCAGGAAATCTCACCTAAATGATCATTTTTCAAATGTTAGCCCAGTCTGAATATTTATACAACAGTTATTCCTGATGACTGCCTCATCAAAAAGAAAACATTCCTCTGCCCTTGGTCAGAGACTTAGAGTCTTGTTCTAACATGGTTCCTGCTAGAAGACCATAAGGGTGACTCGGTGGCTCAGTGGTTAGCACTGCTGCTTCACACCGTCAGGGACCCGGGTTCAATTCCACCCTCGGGTGACTGTCTGTGTGGAGTCTGTATGTTCTCCATGTATCTGGGTGGTTTTTCTCCAGGTGCTCCGGTTTCCTCCCACAGTCCGAAGATGTGAAGGTTGGGCGGATTGGCCATGCTAAATTGCCCGTAGTGTCCAGGGACGGGTAGGCTAGGTGGATCAACCATGGGCAGTACAGGGTTCGGGTAGGGGGATGGTTTTGAGTGGGATGCTCTTTGGACGGTCGGTGTGGGTTTGATGGGCCAAATGGCCTGCTTCCACACGGTAGGAATTCTATGATAAGGAACAGGACTGGGCCCTTTGAGCCTGCTCTGCCATTCGATAGGATCATGGCTGATCCAACACTCCTTCCTATCCAACTCCAGCATTTTCCCCGTAACCCTTGATTCTCGGGCTTGACAAGAATATATCTATCTCAGCCTTAAATAAATACAAAGGACTCACAGCTCTCTGTGGTAGGGAGTTCCAAAGACTCTCAAACCTCAGAGAAGAAAACCCTCCTCACTCCAGTCCTAAATTGGCACCCCTTTATTCCGAAACGATGCACTCTCATCCTACACTCTCCCATGAGGGGAAACATCCTCTCAGCACTTACCATGTCAAGCCCTATAAGAATCCTACATGTTTCAAAGAAATCACCTTACATTCTTCTAAATTTCAGTGCGTAGAGTCCTAACCTCCTACTAGGGATCATCCTCATGGATCTCCGAACTGCTTCCAATGAAATGCTACCTTTCCTTAAATAAGGGGACCGAAACTGCTCTCAGAATTCCAGATGCGGTCTCACCAGCACCTTGTACAGGTGTTGTTCAATTGATATTAACTAAGCCAGCATTCATGTGCATCAGTCCTGGGGAAATTACCGCAGTGAACTTCCACTATGTCACTCAAATGATCCTCCAATATGTCGGTGGGCTAAAGAGTCACTGGGCTGTCAAACTACCCTCATTTTAATGTCTATTTGTTCCAATTAAAAGGGTCTGCAGGGAGGAAATGACACCCACCTGTTCGATTACAGTAATCTCACTCTATAGCAATCCCACTACAGTAAGTGTGAAATCTCAGTTAGACTTTCTCCATATCCAGCATTTATACAAATTAACTTTCAGTACAGGTCAGTGGATAGTGATCACAAATGAAAACCCCAACAAATTTTCCATGCCTGCGTAACACCACCACTGTAAGACTAAACAATTTGGCAGAGAGGTATAGGACCTATATGATGCAGTAGGCCAGGCAAAAGTTGTTAAGAAATGGAGGTTCATACTTTTTGTAATATTTAAAACAACCATTTGTTTAATTTGTGACAGAAGTTTTGGAATTTAGAGAAAAGGTTCTTAAAGAAGCTTCAGGGAAATGAACGACCTGGGCTTTATGATCAGTAATCAAGTCTTTGACCATCAGTCTGATTAACAAGGCTTAGATTTTTTTGGAGGGATAAAGTATAAATAGGAGGGCATTCCACAAAGCCGTCTTTTTTGTGTGCAGTGGGGGGAAGGTGTGGTGAAGGAATTTTAAAAATATATTCCATTGCAATGGAAAGAAAATTTCTAAACTCTACACTAACTTCTTATCTTGAAGAAGTTGCAATATCCATTTGGCCACAGAAAATGATTAAATACTGAGAAAACCAACTAATAGGGCGTACAAAATGTTACAGGATGACAGTCTGCCTCGAGAACTGGTTCAAAGTAAAAAAACTAGCTTGAGGGCACAAATTTACCTTGATCCGTTTCCTGCCCAGCAGGGGCTCAGAACTGGTGATCTTCACAATGACTCCACTCACAAACTGAGGCCCCAGGGTGTTAACCTTCACAGAGGGTTGGGCTCCTTCATTGTTAACCATTGCTTTAGTAAAAGAGAACAATACAGTCTGCATCAATAGCTTTGAAATTCAAGATATTTTACTCCAACACATTCAAAGAATTCACGCATTCCACCCCATCCCAACAGCCCAAGCACAATTTTAAAGCCTTTTGTTTTTCAAAACTATTTGCATGTTAATTGACTCACATCTTGCAGTTGATTCCCCTTATAGAATGTAAATTCCTACAACTCTTAAAGACTAATCTTGAATGCTCCTGATTTCCAATGAATTTGATTAGTGAGAAGCAGAGGCATAGAGCTGAGGGAGCCTCAGGTTTGACCTGTATGCTGTCTATATGGGGTCACTCGATCTCCCGCCAGTAATGGTACAGCTATCGCAATTCATGTCAGTGCCCCCGAATTTTGGAGGGGCTGGGAAAAACAGCTTCAGTCCAATCTCTGTTCAGAACTTATTTGGAAGGATTTGTACGAGTACACGTTTAGTTAGACCCACATAAAGCGAGGTCGGGTTTGGCCTACTTGTTGTATCTACCACCAAATTGGACAATGTTCAAAGTATGTAACATCAAGACTCTCATGTGAATAGTAACAAAGTGCCTGATGCCAATAATTGTCTAAAGAGCCAAAGTCCAGCAATGACAATACTGACAACAGCTGGCTTTTACATACCAGCTTCACAAGGGCATTAGAGAACAAAATATGAGATACAGCTAGTTAAGGTGCTATTCGATGACAAAAAACTTGGTCAAAGTTGTAGATTTTAAGAAGCAAGTTAAAAGTATCAAAGTGATGTAGAGTATGACAGATTTAGACAGGGAAATCCGGTGGGGATAGAGAGCTAAGATGTGTCCACCAGTGTTGGATATTAAAACCGGAAAGCTTACAACATCAGAAATGAAAGGTAGGCAGACAGTGCAGAGCAGGGCGGAAGGTAGTCTAAAGTTCGGAAGTTAATATCTCTGCAAGGATTGAAAATACTCTAAATGTCGCATTTTCCCAACTTCACAACTGCTTGTGGCACCCTGGGCTTCAGCAGCAATGTTACAAGGCAAATAAAGCTGTAGTGCGCAGTGACCACACCTCGCAAAACTCCGGGAGCAAGGAGATATATAGAGGGAAAAAAATTATAGAATCCCCAGAGTGCAGAAAGAGGCCAATCGGACCATCAAGTTTTCATCGACCCTCCAAAGACCATCCCAACCAGACCCAGCTTCTCCCACCCCCTCCCCATAATTCCACATTCACTATGGCCAACCCACCTAGCCTGTACATCCCTGCACACTACAGGGCAATTTAGCATGGCCAATCCACCCAACCTGTACATCTTTGGACTGTGGGAGGAAACCAGAGCATCTGGAGGAAACCCATGCAAACATGGGGAGGACGTCGTGGTGACTCAGTGGCTAGCACTGCTGCCTCACAGTGCCAGGGACCTGGGCTCGATTTCAGCTTTGGGCATCTGTCAATGTGAAGTTTGCACGTTCCCCCAGTGCCTGCACGGGTTTCCTCCGAGTGCTCTGGTTTCCTCCCACAGTCCCAAAGGTGCGCAGGTTTGGTGGATTGGCCGTGCTAAATTGCCCATAGTGTCCAGGAATGAGCAGGCTAGGTGGATTAGCTATGGCAATGTGTGAGGTTATGGGGATAGGGTGTGGGGCTGGTAGGAGGCTCTTCGGAGGGTCAGTGTGGACTCACTGGGCTGTATGGCCTCTTTCCACACTGTAGGAATTCTATGAACGTGCAAACTCCACAAACACTGTCGCCCAAAGCTAGAATCAAACCCAAGTCCCTCGTGCTGCGAGTCAGAAGTGCTGACCACTATGCCATGCAGACAAGCATTAGAGAATAGCAAAAATGGCTCTGTGCAGGCACCTATAGCTAACAGCAACTGGCATCAACAGAATCTGAACCGGCATGCGTACTCCACCACAGGGTGCTTCAGGTTCTCCGTGAAAAACTAATGACAGTTTTGTCAACATTTTTAGGAATGGTGACTGTCATTCCATGTGAAATCTAGGAACCTGTAGGGAAATAGTTCATTACTAACTTTTTTGTTAAGGTTTGCTTATGTTTTCTTGGTTTCATAAAGGTATCCTCTCAGATCATCTAGCCCCTTAAATCCCATCACAGGAAAACACTCAGTTCCCCAGAATCTGGTCTCTGTGTGTTATCCTCTTCCTTTGTGTGCCACCTGACTTCCATCACCTCAAAGCCACACTCTGTAAAGTTCTGTTAAGCTCACGGCCTCTCCACCTTTATGCAATTCCTTAAAAATTGTCACTTTAACCAAGTTTCTACTCCTATCTGCTAATAGCTCCCTAAAGTTGATGTCAGACTTTTTTGATAATGCCTTTGTTAACTAAACAGAATATTTTTGTTGGCCGAATGTTACTTATACATCACATGCTATTGACTATACCAGAATTCTTTTCATATTTATCAAATCTGTCACAGAATTGTAGAATCCCCATGGTGCAGAAATAAGTCATTTGGCCCCTCTGAAGAGCATGTCACCCCTCCACGCTATACCCATAACAACGCATTTCCCATGGCTAATCTACCTAACCTGTCACCTTTGGACTGTGGAAGGAAATAGGAGCATCCGGTGCAAAGGGAGCTTTTTGTCACTAAGGGTTTAAATCGATGCATTGAACAAATTTATTTTGCATTCAGGTAAATCAGCAATACTTTGAAGAAGTAACTCTAACAGCAATTGCAGCTAAATGCAGCACTGACAAGAATAAAAGAGCATTCACCTAAATTCTTTCATCCAAACGGAAACAAATTGCAAAATAACTCAAATTATGTACTCGAAACAAAATGTACCAATTGTGATTCAATACTAGCTCCAAAGACTTTTCTCCTCCTTTTGATCGAATGACAGCTGTCACTGTGTTTAAGAGCTTTGTCATAAAATGACTGAAAAAATCTGAACCGACCTGTATGGATTCTGTTTGCCCAATATAGTATATACAGTCTTCCCTCAGGTTGGATATTCCACTCGCCTCAAGTAGAGGCTTTAATCCTATGTGTACAAATCCAAGGCGCACTGGGGGAAGACCACAGTCTAAGGTATTTTTGTCCAAGTTATCAGACCCTCCCTGTGCTTCAAATATTGTCTTGTACAAGTAAGAAATACCCTTGGTTTGTTTGTTGGGTAGAGTCAAACTCCAATGTTTGTATCTTCATTTGCTACTGTACAGAACCGAATTGCTTCAGTGCCTATGTATGTATATAATGACATTTTATGAATAAAGTATATTTTTGAAATAGAAAAAAAGGTGCTGATGAAATCTTAATTAGCAGCCCCCATTACTGGTTCAACTGGTTTTACATGTTAGAACTTTGGCCTGCAGGAATATCAGCAGCCCGAGTTGACAAAATGTCAACGCTCAGAAGCTGGTCTTTTTATGTAGATCCCATTATTTGACCAGGCCTGGTTAAAAACCATTAATGGTGCCCTAGTTACAAATGGATCTAAATGGTTCAGGTATAGTATTGTTAAGTATGTTATCAAGAACTGCCTTTGCTCTAGACTTCCAGCTTGAAGTCATGTAAATTCCAATTATTACCACGCAAAGACCTAATCGCTCACCGATTATTGGGAGGACTGATGAGCAGGGGATTGAGCTTTTGCTTGGCAAATGGATGGTGTTTGAAACTCCTTACTAGTCATTGTAAAATGCAAGGTTTCTGTTTGTCAAAACCCTTGACTATAGTATGAATATACATCATGTCTCCTATTAAGCTGCAGTTCCACCAGTTGGAGGGAAATGCTTTTCTACAACCTAACAATTACAGATATAATATTCAGTACGTGATTGTGTGTGTCCAAATACCCAATCTCCTGTGCTCACTCACTCTAGCAAATAACCTGCTGTATACAATACAACAACTCTGATTCTAAAACAGAAATAGCTGGAGAAGCTCAGCAGGTCTGGCAGTTAATGTTTCGGGTCAAGTGACCCTTCCTTATTCTGAGACGCTGCAGACCTGCTGAGCTTTCCCAGCAATTTCTGTTTTTGTTCCTGATTTACAGCATCTGCTGTTTTTTCAGTCTTAACACACTGATTCTGTTCGATATATTCTTATCAAGTCTTGATGTGTAAATGAAGTAAGTGATCATGTTTGACCTGGATCAAGATAAGCATGTCTTGAGTTCAAAGATAAACTAATCTGAATGAATTTTATCCACCAAAAGGAGATTAGTTTCTTCAATGTATGTTAGTCAAGCAGTTTTTGGATTGATTATTTCTTTCTTAATGTATTCCCCTGGTTCTGGATACACTGAATATGATATTAAAAAATTATACCTCGACTAAAAATGCAAATAGGCAAATATCAAACTTCCGTACAATTTTACTGGGACGTTCTTAATTTCAGTTGAGTTTTGTGGCTGAGAATGAACAGTTAAAAATAGGGCTGATCTATTTTAAGTATAAACCAAATACATAGTTAGGTGAGGTCTTTAGCACGAAATATGCCAAAGTGTTTGGAGGGATGATAATATCCAAGCTCAAATCACTGCTGTGGTAGATTCAAGTTGGTGGCTTAAAGTGTTATCAAAGAGATAGGATTTGACGATTTTGAGAGACTAGAATGACTTTGTAAAACTGAGGGGTTTGGCAGGCAGAGCGGAAGAATCTGCAGCCACAGGAGGATACAATGGAAGTCAGAAGACAGTGTTCATTATTATGAGCACAGAGGCATAGTACAATGAACTCCAAGTCAACCACTCCACTTCAGTGATTTGACCACATAATTTTGGATAATTCATTGAATTGTGTGTTGCATTGCCAGTGATGGCATGTTGCAAGTTGGAAAAACAAATCAAGTCACTGTCTGTCCTGCAGAGTGGCTTTAAGATCCCACACAATTATTTGCCAAAGAGCAGGACAATTCTGACACCTTGTCCAATCTTTATCCCTAAACCAGAATCACATGGTTAACTGAGCATTTATCTCTCTGCTATTTGTGAGGCCTGTCTGTTTGCAGGTTAGATTATTAATTTCTGAAATTGCAATACTTAATTGCAAATACTTAACTAGCTGTGAAATACGGATATTAGAAAAGACGTTGGGCCGAACCTTAACATTATTTTTAGTTAAGTCCAAGCTGTGTTGAGAGTTTTGAAGGGTTTCTTGCCATGAGGGCTGGTGAGTTCTTTTGCAGTATCTGACTAAGCTCACCTCATTATTTATATACTCTGCCACAGTTGCATCTCTCAGGTCCAGGTTTTGCCCATTCTTACCACATGCTATTCCCAGAACATCTTGCCACTCAGCACATATCCCAGAATTCACTGGGATCCCTTGTATCTGTGCCATCTTTTAAAAGTCTGTTGTGCACCTGGGTAAGCACCATCAGTCCAGAGCTGCCCTGCACAGTTGCTGAAATTTGCCCCAGAATTGGCAGATGGGGGAAACTGGAACCCCATTTTACAGACTGCGTCTTGGTGAATGGTACGTGCAGAGGCAGAATTTTCTCTACCCCCAGGACCGGTGGTCGAGGACATGACACCAGACCACACCAGCCTGGTCTGAGATGCCATTTAGGTTATAGGAATCTCAGGTCATCTGGAGGAATGGCCAGTACGGTAGGAAGAAGGTCAGTGTCCTCCACTCCGTTAGTTAAGTGTCACCATATCTTGCTGATACCTCACACTCATTCTGTCTCTGCTAATATATCCACCTCCCACCAAGGCACATGATCCAGCATGCTCACTATTGCCTGAAACATCATCCTCACTCACTCACTCTCACTGGCCCCATGTCTCGACACCAGAAATGCTCCAGGGGAAAAAAAAATATTGATTTTTTAAACAATTTGCTAGCCTCCATTTCTTTCTCCACAGTTAAAACTGACAGGAAATGTCATTTCATGTCTCTGCCATCTCTTGAGGTTCAACACAAAGATGACCTCGATGATCTTTAAGTGACCCTATTCTTTCCATGTCTGCTCCTTTGCTCTTAGTAGAATCCTTAACCTTATCTGCCATGGCTTTTTCATATCCCCTTTTTGCCCTTCTCATTTCCATCTTAAGAATGCCCTTACACCCTTTATGCTCTTCGAGGGATTCATTTCATCCCAGCCTTCTATATCTAATATATGACTCTTTCTTATTCTTGACCAGAACTTCAATATCTTTATTCATCCATTACTCCCAACTCTTAACAGTCTTACTCTTCACTCTAAGAGGAATTCAACACCTCTGAACTCTCATGATCACACTTCTGACAGCCTCCCACTTGTCAGTTGTCTCTGTCAATCGTCTACTCCAATGAACTTCTGAAAGTTCTTGTCTCATACCATTAAAATTTGGCTTACTTTAATTAAGAACTTTAACTTTTATGGAAGGTTTATCCTTTTCCATAACTATTTTAAAACTAAAATCCCCTAATATTATAACCGTATTATTCCTACATTTCTCTGGAGATCTCTCTATGTATTTGCTCCTCAATTTCTCTCTGACTATTGGGGGCTGGGGTGCCTATAATACAAACCCATTAAGGAGATCATTCCTTTCTCATTTCTAATTTCAACCCATATATTTTCACTGGATGGTCCCTTAGAATGTTATATAAACAAACATTATCCTACTACCAGCAAACAAAAAAAGGAAAAAAAAACAAAGTTTTCCTTCCTCTCTTTCCCCGGTAGAAGGAGAATGCCATTGTGTTTCTAATTCTTATTTGATCCTAACTGATATTGTCTGGGCAAATGTCCACAATGTGTGCGCTTACACATGCTCTCGCTGACTTTTTGATGAAGCACTTTGGTACATTTCATGCTGACAACCCCAAATATATATTTATTCGACTTGGCTGAAAAGCATCTGAAAACGGAGGAAGAGAACCTCCAAAATGTTAAATGGAAGGTGCAACCTTCCAAGCACAGTGACAATATCTAACCAGTAGTGCCACGAGGGATTAACAAGCAACAAAGTGTAATAGTAATAGATATAAGGAATGCAACCATGCAGAGAATCATGTCTGAGAAGGAGCACAGGTGACGAGGCAGAGGTGACCAAGGAGAATTTCAGGGTCCCACATCAATGAGCATCCTCTGTCAACTGGAGCAAGTTAGAACAGAGACACTCCAGTGTCTAGGGCCTTTCAATCTGTTTCACAGACCAGGCAGAGTGCAGCAATGAAACAGAGAATGTTGCCACTACATAGCTGGTCATTCAACATCAATGGCGAGGAATAATAAATTACAGTTTTCTGTCTGAACCTTCAGAACAAAAACAGAACATTTTTAGCACAAGAGGCTACTCACCTCATTGTGTTGTGCCACTGTATAGGAATAATTCAGCATAGTCCTCCTTTTCAGCTTTTGGTCAATAGTTTTGTAGGTTACAGCATGTCAAGTGAAGGTAAATGACAAGTTTATCTTGTAGAAGAGCGAGGGGTGACTTGATTGAAGTTTGTAAGTTCTCGAATAGTCTTGACAAGGTAGACGTGAAAAGATATTTCCACTTGTGGGGGAGCTTAGAACTAGGTGACACAGTCTTAAAATTCAGAGTTGTCCTTTCACAAATATTTTTCCCCTCAACAGTGTTGCGCAATTTTAGAATGCTGCACCAAAAGATGATGGAGGCAGGGTCATTAACTATTTTTTAAAGTGGAGGTATGTAAGATTGTAGTTGGGTAGGGGAAAATCGAGGTAGAAAACAGGGGAAACTGTGGAATTAGGAACTTTCCGAATGGCAGACAGGGTTTGAAGGAGTGAATGGCCAACTTAGATCCTAACTAATGTCTCAAAATTCCTTTCAATCAGAAAATTCTGCAACCCCCTCTCCTCTAGTCCTCACAATTGTTTTAAACTTAATTTAGTTAATGACCTCTCTTAACTGAAATAGGTCATTCCTATACCTCTATCTAGGTCACAATACACACGTCAAAGTAAATCTCTGTTCAGCTTTCTGAATAAAATAATAAATCAAGTCTGTCAAATATTTAGAATCACAGATCTTACTAATTACTCGTATTAACAGGAGCAGGACTAATTTGGGCAATAATACATCTGCAGCATATGCCTCTAGAAAGGGGCTGCCTGTTCTGTCCATTTTTAATGTACGCATGTCACAGAGCCACAAGCAATTCAAACAAGGATTGTGTGCTGAGAGGCACGACAAAACAAATACTGCTATTCCCTTACGTACCCCTCGCCCAATTGTTGAATATAAATTTAATAAATGATAATCATAATTATAACTTCCAAGGTAAATCATGAGGCCCATGCTACAAAATTCTGTGGAAGATTCAGTTCTTCCGTGCAGTAAACAGTATCACGTGCACCAGGCCGGCTAACACCTTTAACACCCTGTTCACTGTCTAGAGAGAGATAATGGCACCTACTTCACATTCCTCAAACTTGTAAATTAGCCGGAATTATTCATCACTCAAGAGCTGCAGTTTAAATTAACCAGTTCAGATCTGCTGGCTTTTGATAAAGATTTTCAAAGTTTAATGTATGATCATTATTGCACCTTACAGCTAAACAAAACCAATCCAGTTGAGTTTCCGTGCGAATGTCTGAAAAAAAAAGATCAGTCTCTCGGGCTTAAATTTAAACAACTAAATAATAGCTATGCAGTCATCAATTTATGTTGAAAATTGAGGCAGATTTTTACTTTGTAACTGGCAATCAAAAGCTTGTGATCTCTCTGTAGCGCTTTTTTTTGGCAAAACACAGAGCACTATTAATAATACTCAGTGTACAGTGTACGCAAACATAATCATGTCTGTATTTGGATAACCGAGATTAGCCTACAAGTAGAAATCAAAAGAACTGCGGATGCTGTAAATCAGGAACAAAAGCAAAGTTGCTGGAAAAGCTCAGCAGGTCTGGCAGCATCTGTGAAGGAGAAAACAGAGTTAACATTTTTGGTTCGGTGACCCTTCCTGAGAACTGATGATCCTTCACAGATGCTGCCAGACCTGTTGAACTTTTCCAGCAACTTTGTTTTTGTAGTCGATAAGTAGCTTGAATCTTGACTTCATCACTAATGTTTTCCCTCGAGTAGAATGGATGAATTTTTTGATGAAGGGTCTAGGCCCGAAATGTCAGCCTTCCTGCTCCTATGATGCTGCTTGGCCTGCTGTGTTCATCCAGCTCCACACCTTGTTATCTCAGAATGGATACAGGTAGTTTTGGGGTGGGTCTCCTTACATGTAGACTTGTTTCAGCGACTTGAATTATAAATGGCAGAAGATGTTCTAACGTGATTAGCTGTTCCCAATATGTATTTGTGATTTGATTAATTATTTCTATTGTAATTGTTAAATATCGTAACATAATTTGTGCAGTGTACATAATGTAATAGTTATCACTTTTTCAAGTAGTTTTATTTTGGACAATCCTGGAAATTGGAGGTGGGATATGGCCCTTATTGATCACTTATTTGGCCTCTCAGTAAGCATCCAATCTGCCATCTTTCCTGACTCTGGCAAAAATTCTGGAAAGAGTCAGGGCATCCTCCTGACTCCTTCCTGTCTCCCAGTCTATCTTTAAACAGGCATGGCAAATTCTACCTTGCAGTCTAAAAGTACAGTGTTGCATTATCCATTCATTCCTGGATTCTTTCAGCTCTCCCACCTGACCCGGTGGCATTAGCAAACATGGAGAGCCTAGCATAGAAGGAATAGCAAAAAAGAAAGAAATGCACCATTACAGCATTTTTCACAAGACCATCAAGTATTCAACAACCAACGAAGTATTTTTGAAGTGCAGACACAGTTGCAATGTAAGAAACCATGAGCGTAAATAGCCAGTTTGTCACCACGCATTGCTGTAATATCTTTCCTGATGGAAAATAAATTAAAGTGTGAACAAATAAGAGAAAAGTGTGTAGTAATATGATTAAACAATTTCTATGACACACATGCTTTTGGTATCATGTAACAGATACACAGAAACCAACCTTTATTGTTTTCAAGTTCTTGTTTGTTTTTGTCAGTCACATCCATCAGGTCTCCACCATTTTGCTGTTTGATTTGTAGCATAGTTTTCTTTAAACTGGACATGCTGGACTTCTGCAACATTAAGTACTCTTGCTTCAAATCCATCCACTCTTTCCTGGCAAAAAAATTATATGTATATTTGACATGTAGTCTTAATAACATATTCTCATAGCACTATAACTGTAAAATACACACCCCTTCAACAATTGTCTCATGACCAGTACGGCAGAATAAATGCACTTTCAGTTCCTCATCCACCACCTCTTACCCAATGTAGCCATTTTGTTTCTATGGATAAATCCTTGAAAGTTACTGGTGGTAACACAGTATGGAGCTGGAGAAACACAGAAAATGAAGAAGGGTCCCAACCCGAAACATCAACTTTCCTGCTCCTCTGATGTTGCCTGGCCTGCTGTGTTCTTCCAACTCCACACTGTGTTGTCTCTGACTCCAGCATCTGCAGTTCTTACTATCTTGGAGTCAGTAATGGTGGATTATTTAACCGGACATTAGGGTCCAGTTGGGTTAAATTTAGCATAAGACAAGCACAGAGAACCTTTTCGGTGTTACTGATTCAAACTAAGCAGATGGAAAAAGAACAGTGTAAAAAATGATATGCACAAGTTCTGAATTTTTTGTTGCTACTTCTTAAAATAGACTGAAAAACCATGAAGACTAACCACCTCAAACTGACAGGACATGTAGGAGAACAAGTAAACTAACTTCCACTTCAAAAAGTAGATGGCTTGGCAGTCAATTAACTTGAGTAATTGCTGGACAAACATGCACTTAAAAACCAGATTGCTCAATTTCAAAGTTGGTATATGGCAATCCGTAAACATAAACTCTTTTATCTGCTGTACCCTGGGGGACCTAAGTTGAAGAAAATTCAGCTTTCAGAAAATTTTTGTTATCTTCCCAGACTTAGTCTTTGTAAGAACAAAAACAGTAGTTACTGGAAAAGCTCAGCAGGTCGGATAGCATCGGTGAAGAAAAAAATCAGTTCGTGTTTCGGGTCTGGTCACCCTTCCTCAGAACAGCATCCTCAGTTCTTGTGTTTTTCATTTAGTCTTTGTAAGGTTCTGTCAGATCACTCAGAACATTTGACGGTTACAACAGAATTGTAATGGTTCAAAGTATGAGACCTAGATAAATATTAATTTTTATTAATAGTTTCACGAGAATATGAAATCCTTGTCATTATATATACTGCCTTACAAAGGTGATTCATGATATTTCACTCCAGTTACTGAAATCAATAGCTTCCAAATGTTGAAAAACACAGCAGACATCACTCTACCACCCAGAAACAAGACGAATAATTTGTGAAAAATATCCTCAGTGGGACTTGCTCAGTAAGAAATAGAAAAAAATTCACCAGGAGGAACTCCTGTGAAACACCAATAATGGGAGTTTCAGAATTTTGACTCAGCTATGAAAGGGCAGTGATACATTCAATTCAGAATGGGATTTGTGAATGCATTTGTGTTTCCATATGACTGCTGATCTTGTCCTTCTGACTGGCAAAAGTAATTGGTTTGAAGAGTTTTGCAGCAACTTACTGCAATGAATCCTGTGGATTTAACACATTTATGTTACGGTATTATCATTCTAGAGACTGCAGTTATTTAAAGGTCGAGGATGGACTGCAAATTCCTTTGTCCAAACTGCTATTGAGTTTAGAGTTTTGTTGCAGCTGCAATCATTCATGCAAGCGTAGATTCATTCATCATCTATCTAACATGCCCAGTAAAAATTGGAGTAACTTTAGGAGCATCAAAATTTAAACAATATGCTGCAGAATGCTCCAACCTTCTCCATTTATACTTGAATGATAATGCATTCATTATAACAAATGACGATTTAATCCATTTGAAGTTGGAATGCTCTACATATATAAAAATTATCCTTTGCTCCATAGTACGGTCTGAATTTCTAAAGGATCTGATATGTTAACTCTGCCCTCTCTTCACAGATGCTGCCAGGCTCGCCGAGTTTTTCCAAAAATTTCTGTTTTTGTCCCTGAATTTATTGCCTATCTTTAATTGTGCAGAGTGTGGTTAAGAATCAATCACATTGCTGTGGATGTGGAGTCATGTGTACACCAGACCAGATATGGACAGATTTCTTTCTCCAAAGGACATTAGTGAACCAGATAAGTTTTTTCAACAATCAACAGTGTTTACTTGGGTGCTCTTGGGCTAGCTTTTTATTTCAGATTTTTATTGAATTCAAATTTCCCATCTGCCATGGTGGAATTCAAACCCTTGTTCCCAGAACATTAACCTGGAGTTCTGGATTACTAGTCCAGTCACATTCCCAATATGTGCAAATTCTCCCTTTTCACACATATTATATAACTGATGGCAAAATTATTAGAAAACATTGAACGTGGTAACCTAGACATCAGTTTGGAAATAAGCCATTCTGCAATTTACACTAACAGACTACTTAGCGACACCTCCTGAAAAATGCATGAGCACAGCCTGCTCTGGCATCAAGACTGCTTTCCCCCCAGATACTAAAAAAAGGTCATTGTTTAACTTCTTCTTGTAGCAACATAACAGAGACTGACAATTTCATATGAAAAATCGCATTTCAAATGTGATGCACTGTTGAATTTCAGTGGCTTCCAATGAATTAATTCAGGCATTGATTCTTTTTAAGAAAAACCTGCTTCTGATAATACACTTTGCTTAATCAATGTTATAGCATGCCCCTTGGTTTTGGTATTTATCATCAATGTATCGGGTGCATATTCTGAATTACATCTGCATTACTTGATACAAACTACAGTACTTGAATTCCACATTTTGAATGTACGTTACCTGCTCCTGATGATGGGAGAATAGAATTTCGCTAAGTTGTGATGCCTCTGCAGTCAAATGGACTGCTAGTGTTAACTGATAAGGCTGGCATAAATAAGAACCACTTAATGAAGCAATGGAAGATTCCTACTACCTCATCAAGAAGAGAAGTTTAAAAGTTAAGGAAAAGTAATGGAAAGTAATGGGGCACCACCAGATTATAGCTGTCCTGATTGAATTTGACATCTGACAATTGCATAGATTGTAGTGCATGTTAGTGATGTCTAGTGTTTTCATGATTTATAATGCTAAAACCATATCCCATATATCAATTGCAGAGGATAAAGAATCATATGGATTAATAAATACAAATGAAAGGAGTTAGTTTACAGATGTTAATTTCCCTCACTGCATATTCTGGACTAACATTCATTGAAGGTAACATTGTATGCAATGTGACAAATCTCAACAGTTGCAATCTTACTTAATATCTTTAATCATGATTTTAACTTTAATGCATTCTCTAATGTTAACTATTCGATTAAGTTTCTGCTTCACAAATTATAAGGACAGCACAAAGATGTTTCATTTCAAATTATGTATTTTAGGAAAAGTTGTTCAAAACATTTTTCCTCAGAAATGTTTTAAGATTTGTACTTTTAAAAAGATTAAGTGAATCTTAGGCAACTCCCTTCTTTCAATAATTAACTGCAAATGTTCAGAACAATATCCAACAGAGCCACATTGTCTAGAAAAAAATTGTGTGTTAATATATCATTGTGTAGACTATCTTAATACCATTAAAGAAAAGGAGATACTGCATTAAGAACAGTCAGCCTTCTGGTAATGGCACCAAATGCTGCTAATTACAGCTTATTAACATGCCAGCACCACCCACTGAGGTAAACAAGTTTAGATACATCACCTAAACAATAGAAATTCAAATGAACAGCCCCTTTAGAAAAGGTGCCTCATTTAAATCACTTTACCTGGAAGAAATATAAATACCAGCTAACTCCAACAATCATTTAAACTGGTCAAGAGAAGATAAGCAAGAACATACTGGCAAGTATATAATCCTTAGCTTGTGGTTTTGTAATTTTTTTGTAGTGCAAGTTCACTCATATTAATTCACAACGGTGGAAACCGATGGAAGAATTTTCGATGTGTCCCCTGTTACGTCAACATTGAAGCCTTTCTGTCATTTAAAAGTTGAGTAAGTGCTTTCATGTTGAAGTGGCAGTGGATACTTGTTTTCTTTTGACATTTTCTTGGGAAGGCCATTGGAAATGGTTACTTTGTGACCAGTTGGAAATTTTTCGTAGTTTGTACTGAAAAAGGCGGATAGCGGCTACAGTGTATCACCACTGCAATCGTGCAATGCTGTTTTTTTTAAACACTGGTATTGCACTTCAGCAATGGTGATGTACTGTCCAGTACCGTCATGAAGGCTGTTTGTAATCATATTTGCAGCTTAATGCACCAGAATTTACAGTGCTAAACTGGGGGTGCAGAGCCAACCTTTTCTTTTTGCCACCAAAATCTAAAATTGCCTCTTTTCGTTTTTCAACTTTGATTTGCTGTTGCTAGTTACTCCAACAAGTGAAGCTTGCTGTCACTTACAATAGTAAGTACTCACATGTTGGAATCTCTAGCTTACAGATCTTAACATACAGAAGGTGGGACTCTGTTCAGACTTCCCTCTCGGTTAAGTTAGTAAGCAAGCACATTTTTGCCAGAACTGGCATCTCATTTTTAAAGAAATTGTAAACTTCGCTCTTATTGAAAAATGTTGACGTCAGACACGGAATATAATTTTAAAAATCCTCCATACACTGCACTACAGGCTTGTTGTTTCAGAGATCCTAATATGCAAGCACTTGCTGTGCATCTTTTACAAATAAGTGCTTATCATATTGGGATTTCTGATCACAACTGCAGCCATCGTAGCCTATGGGTCACAACTATGAAAGTATCCATCAGGTGGACTAATTAAGGTGATTCAATGCTGGAGGTCAAAATTTTTCAAAACTTTTGGTTTTTACAATTTACAATTCTATCTATAGCTCTCTTGATTTGGTACAGGTATTTAGAGATATTAAATGGACTAGACAAGACTTGCTTTATGGAACCTCTAACATGTCAGTACTTTTTTATGTTCCAAGTAAGTGCTCTCATGTTGGGATTTCTACTGCACAGATGCACCACCAAGTTTCTGAGAGGGTTGTAAAATTCATGTTAATTTTGTTCTTACCATTTGCTTTTGGTTTGACCGTATGTTCATGTTCCAGGGGTTGCATGGATGACTTGAAATTCAAAATGTGGCAAGAACTCCTAACATACAAGCACTTCCTGTTACCTGCTGAAGTAAGTGCTTTTATGTTGGGAATTCTTGCATCACACTGTGCAGCAATTAGAAGCAACACTTCCAAGCAACATCTCTGCTGATTTTAAACTTGTGATGTGGAGCCTCTAACATGTGAGAACTTGCTATCATCGGAAGTAAGTGCTCGCTTGTTGGGATTTCTACCTCACATCATGCAACTTTGTACTAGTGAAGAGGATAATGTAGTTTTGAAGCACCAACATGGGAAACTTGCTGTAAATGCTGTAAGTAAGTGCTTCATATTGGTGTTTTAAAATTTACAAAACATGTAGCACACTTCGTTATGTCAATTCACAGGGCTAATTAAAACGTGCAACCTGCCCAAGAAAACTGATGACACAATGCTAGATAGCAGAAACTCCGGGATACCAGTAACTAGTAAGGTTTGATCTTATATTAAGCTGGAAGTTATCGATTAATTGGGTTATTGGTTAAAAATAGAAATAAAATTAAAATATTTTCACTTACTTGGATAAAACTCTGAGAGGAATAACTTCTTCTTCTACCTTGTGCCTGTCTTTGTGTTTCTTTTTCCTTTTTCTCTTGCTTTTCAATAGGGATTCATCCTTCTTGTCTCCAGAACCACGCTCGTCTTCTGTTGAAATATCTTCAAAAATGGAATGCGTTAGCAAACAGTGCAGAGAGTGGAAATTGCATTTAAAATTGAAAATAAAATTCCTTATCCTGAAAATAATTCCATTAGATTTTGTAGCAAAATAATTTTCAGGAAAAGGAGTTAATCATACCTTTAATGTCTTTTTCACTATCTGTCTTCTCTTTTTCTCTGTCACTGATTTTTCTTACTTTTGCAGAGGATCCTTCTTCTAGTTTTCCAGGGCTACTTCGTTTCCGCTTTCTCCGACTGGTCTCTTCAGTTTTATCTCGTCTCCGTGTCTCACCTTTTGATTTACTTCTGCCGAGATCTGCAACATCATTTTCTGAACAGTCTGATGTCATTCTGCTCCCCTTTCCTTTGTCCAGGCTGGGATGGGACTGTTCCATTGGCTCTGTAGTTGACTGGTTTTCTGATTTTCGAGGTTTCTTTTTTTTCTTTTTCTTTTTCTCATCTGTACTTTTGTTTGTATCTGTGAAGGTTGTGTATGTATTAAAACCACTTGTATTAAAACCACAAAACTCTTTGAAATTTTTAATTTCTTGCTATTACGTACCAATATTGTCAGTGGAGCTGAACACAGGAACTGGTTTATTTTTTACAGTTTTGGGGAAAACTCCAGGCTTTCGTGGAGCATCTTCTGGAGGATTGTTTAACAGCTTGGAAGTACAAATTGAGAATATACTTCAATAGTTAAAATAAAACATTTGCTCAGTTAACATTTTGTCTTGTTTTTAATTCCTCCCATTCTGCATTTATTAACTGACACAGGTTGTGGGGTGGGGGTGGGGGTGGGGGTGGGGGTGGGGGTGGGGGAAGAGAGTGGTTTGCAAGTTTGCAAAACTTGCACATGCTTGGATCATTAGTTGCAGAATGAGATCTGGGGAATTGTTACACTTGGTATTTGCCAGCCTCCTGGCCATCAAATTATGAAAGGTTTATAATGCTATGATCTACCAGTAGGGCATTCACCTCAATAGCTTTTTGAGCTCCTGATGCAGTTTCAAATTCCACAAAGGCAAATCCTTTTGGGTCACCAGTTGTTTTGTAACGAGGGATGCTGATGTAGACGACATTTCCAATTTTACTGAACACTCTGTCTATCCAACCATGTGAAACGTTTCTGGGTAGCAACTCCTTTAATAAAAGAACAATGAGTAGATTTAAAAATAAGGTGCTGGCAGCATCTGAAGCCCATGAGCAGGAAATTATCCTCACTGATTATATGCACAATACTGCCAATCCATCAAAAGCAACTTTCATGAGTTTTGATTCTTGTCTGGGTTCAGAAAATTAACTGGGATGAGGATAGAAAGCATGGAAGCAGGCAAGATGACCACAATACAAAATCAATTCACCCAAGCAATTTTAAATTTACATTTGCAACAATCAGGTAAAATAAGTGCTGCAGCAAAAGTGCAGTTGGGTGACAAGGAAGCTACAGTTGCACAATTGATCAGTTGGGGATTTAAAGGGTGACAACATGGTATGATTACAGTATGATCCTTTCTGGTGGAAAACCTTGGCAGTGAAATACCTTGAATTATACTGAGCATTGTTAAACTTCTCTAATTCAAACCAACTTGCTACATTTGGGACATAGTGGCTCAGTGGTTAACACTGCTGCCAGGGACACTTCTATACACAGATACCAAGGTGTACAGCTGGATGAACACAGCAGGCCAAGCAGCAAAGCTGACATTTCGGGCCTAGACCCTTCTCTGTCTGCATGAGTTTCCTGTGGGTGCTTCAGTTTACTCCCACTGTCCACAGACATACAAGTTAGTTAGGTGGATTGGTCATAAATTACCCTGTAATGTGTAGGCACGTACGGTGGGAGATGGGTCTGGCTGGGATGTAGACTCAGTGGGCCAAATGAACTCTTCTGCACTGTAGAGGACCTGGCCCTTCACCAACCCCCCTGTTACATCACTCATACTTACCACATAAACTGTACGGTCATCAACATCTTGTGGCTGAACTCCCAAGGCCACGCGACGCCTTAATTTTGTTCCTTCTATATTCAGCTGAAGGCATAGTTTAAAAGCATGTTATGTAAAAAAGCATTAAAAAGTGAAACTTTAATGCAATGCTTTCACATTGTGTCATTAAATCATCACAAACTGATTTTACCAAGCTATTTTGCATTTTGATCATGCTTAATTGCTATTGGTGCCAATTGTGCCTGCATTTTAATCCTCTTCGGTCAGGAAGATACACACATCCAACAGGTTCTCTTTAAGAACAGCTTCTTCTCCACTGTTAATTGAGTCAAATTTCAAAACGATCTTGGTTTTTTTTGTACACCTTGTTTGCAGCTGTAACTTTGTCTTCCTCGCTCTGTTCATTCACCCAATGGCCCCATGACCTTTGACAATCTGCCTGCCTGTACTGCACGCAAAACAAAACTTTTCACTACACTTTGCTTCTTTTTGAGTTGATTTAGTATTGTCACATGTATCTAATTCATAAGATCCGCATGAAATGCATCTGAGGATACCAAACAAAATCTTGCAAATGGCACTGAAGGTTTCAAAAGTGAATCTTGAAATAGGAGAAAGAAGTAAACTTATTACCAAGTTAGTCTGCTCAATATTGGATGCGGGGAAAGTTTTAGAACCAATAAGCTGGAGCAACATTTAATGGCACTTTAATGGCATTTAATGGTGAGGTCATGTGTTTTGTATTTTTATTACAATTGAAGTCAAGAATGGTCTTGATATGATAAAAGGAGATTTCCCAGTAGTAGAGGGCTCAGTAACCAGAATATGCGGAGTTTTAAGATCACGAGCTGAACTAGAGGATGAATGCAGAAAGATTTTTTAAATGCAGTGATCTTTAGAGGAGTAATTTTCAAGATAAATTTAGTATTTAGTTGAAGGGAAAACATGTACAGGACTGTAGGAAGCAAGAAATTAATTGCACAGATCTTACCCAGGAGCCAACACATGTACAACTGTTTCCTTCTGCGCTATATCATGCCATGTGGGTTTGAATCCACATCCTTGTGTTTAAAACAAGAATGTTAAAAATATTTTTAAATTTCCAATTGTCTTAAAACTTTGGATACATTGTAATGGTATCCTAAAACTTCCAAAGACAGATTCACTTTAAAATGGCTTGATACAATGCTATAAAGAAAGTAAAGTCACAACAGTCCCAGAAGAATATAGGGCATAAGCGCAAAGAGAAGCTCCTTGATTATTTTTTTCATTTGCAAAATGTTTTGAGGAGTAGATAATCAAACTGAGCTACCACTGAACATGTCTTTGCAAAATAATTTATGATGCATAATAAATAAGGGGATAGGCCCGTACAGTTTAGTCACAAGAGTAATCTTGGACTCTGACCCTCAGCTCCAGACCCGAAATGATTATGATCCCAGGTAATCTGACTTCTCAGCTGATAGTGATGTAGACTCACACTGTTGACTGACTCCTCTAATCCAATTCTGCTGATTTCATCAGCACTTGTAGTTTAAATACAAATATATTGTCGAACTTAGAAGTTTGTCTTTGGAAATACTCTCGGAACTTGTTATGCCATTCTTAAAATTCTTTATCTTGTCTAATATTGTTTTTACCTCCTCTTCTTTGCTGCTACATGGACAGCATTTCTGATCAACATTGATGTAAAGTATTGAATTTAGTATGCTGCAAAATCAATTTTTACACTGTAAAATCTTGCTGGGTACTTTTACATTTGATTACCCCTTCTTCATTTCTGTTACTATTCTAAACCTGATGATCTTGTGATCACAGTTCCCCAAATCTTCTTACGAAAATAAAAGTTCCACTTTGCTCCTCAGAACCAGATCCATCAATGCTTCCTGTTTTGCTGATCTCAAACTTCATAAAGGGAAGTCTTTGGGAAACATTTCAGGAATTTCTAGGATTCCTTCCTATGTACTGATTATCCCAATTTTCGACCACGAGATTAGCAATAACAGATTTTGATTGAGATCTAAAATCTTTCTAGAATTTGTTTCTCTACCTCATCTTGCCCATTTTTGGCATGTGATATACATTCAGTAGCACAACAGCTCCACTTGGGGGAGGTGATGGCCTGTAGTATTATTGCTGGGCTGTTAATCCAGAGACCCAGGTAATGTTCTGGGGACCTAGGTTCGAATCCTGCCATGGCAGATGGTGGAATTTGAATTCAATAAATATCTGGAGCTAAGAAGCTAATGATGACCGTGAATCCATTGTCAATTGTCAGAAAAACTCATCTGGTTCACTAATGCCCTTTAGGGAAGGAAACTGGCATCCTTACCTGATCTGGCATACATGTGACTCCAGTCCCACAGCAACATGGATGACTCTCAACTGTCCTCTAGGATGGACAATTAGGGATGGGCAATAAATGCTGCTTAGCCAGTGATGCCCTCATCCCGTGAATGAATAAAGAAAAAAAACTACTGTTCCTTAATTCTAATCACATGGGTCAAAAACAGAGACTGTCTCATCTTTCTCTAATATTGGAATAGTTTATCAGTACAGTTGCTCAATCCCCCACTTCTTTGAATCAAGGTTTTTGTTGCCACAATATTTAAATTTCAGGTGGCAACCTATAGTTCCAGCATGACCATTTAATTTACCATATTGTGTGTTTATACACAGGAATGCAAAACTGACTGCCTCAAATTTGCATCCTGTCTGACACCTCTTTTTGAGCTTTTGCCTATTCTAATGCTTCTTATCTCTTGGCTTTTTGCTCCTTTATTCACTCTTCATTATGAAGTCTGTTTCAGTGCAGAAAGTTAGCACTACACTGCAACAGTGAGGAAATCCGTCATTGAATGACTGCTTTTGAAACCTTTGTACGAGCTGGATTTACACAAAAATATCATGCATTTTTCGAAGAAAAGCTAAAGTATCTAAACAATGTTCCCCTTACCTTACTCAAGCTGCCTAACATTTTGTCCCGGTTCACAATTATCTTCTTGGCCTTTAACGTACCAAATTTAAAAGTGCACTGCTCCAGCCTGTAACTCCTCCCCATCCGGTCTCAAAATCGTATCTCTTCAACCATGCTTTCAATTTCTGTCTTTCCCTTTCCGGCGCAACTTGCAGTCTCTTCATAGAGATATATAGCACAGAAACAGACCCTTCATTCCAACCTGTCCATGCCGACCAGATATCCTAAATAAATCTAGGCCCATTTGCCAGCATTTGGCCCATATCCCTCTAAACCCTTTCTATTCATATACCCATCCAGATCCCTATTAAATATCGTAATTGTAGCAGCCTCCACCACTTATTTTGGTAGCTCATTCCATTCATGCACCACCCTCTGCGTGAAAACGTTGGCCCCTAAGTCCTTTTTAAATCTTTCCCCTCTCGTTTTGGAATCCCCCACCTCGGGAAAAAGACCTTGCTTATTCATCCTATCCATGCCCCTCATGATATTGTAAACCTCTAAAAGGTCACTCCTCAGCCTCTGACACTCCAGGGAAAATAGCCCCAGCCTATTCAGCCTTTCACTATAACTTAAACCCTCCAACCCTAGCAACATCCTTGTAAATCTTTTCTAAACCCTTCAAATGCACAAGATACTTCTTTGTCTGTCTTTATAAACAGTTCCAGTTTAAGTTTTCTAAAAAAGCAAGGTGACAGCAGCGCTTGTGCTGACAGCAAGGTTGGAGTTAGCCTTTAGTCATAATATGTAACGAAGGGATTCACACTCACCTCAATGATATTTGAGTTTTTTAACGCCCTTGCTATTAATTTTACATCTGTGGTTAGCTTTTTCATTTTGTTGAATGCTGTCAGCACGGAAATGTCAACATCTGGGTAGTCAAAAAATCACAGAGAGTTAAAAGATTTATATATTTAAACCATGGGTATATACCAAGAGATATATTACTCACATCCATCTCTGGATTTCTGAATCTGTTCCTGAAGGAATCGGTCTTTGTGTAGGTTCACATCACCAAACCAAAACTCGACCTGTTTTTTAATCTCAGAAAGCACCTTGTTGACCCTTGACCTTTTCTTTTTCTCCTTTTCCTTTTTCTGGATACTGGATTCAGTACGCGTTGTCTCACTTTTTGTTTTCTCTGTCTCTCCCATATTCAGCAATGCAAAGCAACAAACTATTGGCAGAGAAAATACTCATGTTAAACTTATTACATTAAAAATAATTGTGAAACACAAATTCAAACAAGACAGTGGATGGTATACAATAAGGATAACCAGAACACGAGGGAATTTTTTACAAATGTTTACTGCAGGGCAATAAGTATACAGTACCATCACCAATGCTTCAGCAAAGACTGGCTAATCCAGCACCAACTGATTTTCCTGTTTTTATAGCATAACACCTCACAAACTGCTTCTTCTACATACCAAGCAAAAGGGAAACCATCTTAGCATTTGAAATATATTAAAAATCGCACAGAGAATACTGCATCACTTAAAGAAGGGCAATCAGCAGTAGGGCAAAGCAGGTAATAGCAAATTGCAAGTGTTTTAACATTGTCACACCTGGTTAGATACAATCAGCAGCACAGTTACACAGATCTGCGGCTAAACCAGTTCAGAAGTACTGTATTCAGTTCTGGACACTGCACATTAGAAAGTATTCACCTTTCTTGAAGGGGTTGTAGTGCAAATTCACCAGAATGAAACCAGGCTAGAAGGTGGGGCTTGTATTCCCTTGAAATTAGATTAAGTGGTGAACTAATTGATGTGTTTAAGATAATTGGAAAAAATTTGATATGGTAAATAGAATAAAACTGTTACCTCTGATGAGATTGGCAAAAAGCACATAACGGTAAATTTAGTGTAGATCATTCAGAAGTGATTTAATAAAGTACTTCAAACAAAACAGCAGAAATATGGAACTCTTTCCTCCAGGGGACTACATTTTAATTAGGTAATGACACTAAGAATTATGGAATAACACAGGAAGATGGGTATGTATCAGATCAGTCATGATCTAATTGAATGGTGGAATAGGTTTGAGGATGGAGAGGCCTACATCTGTTCCTATGTTCTGGACTTGGTCCAATTTTCTTTTCAATTGAAGTTAATGGGATAGAAAAAGTTTGAACTGACTTTGTACATAGGGAGCAGAGTTAGTGTGTGACTTCTCCTGTATGTTCCTGTGAATGTGGTACAAGGACAACGTACCTAGAGGCCAGTACACATACTAATATATAAACATACAAACAGTGATGTTGGTGGACCCATGGGGAGGTGGGAATATACATATTTTATTTTTTTAAAAAACAATTAAAAAAAATTAACAAATCAAGTTATCCACTCCAACTAAGAAAATAGTCTGTTGAACAAACAGCTGGTTATTAATATGGCTATACTATCTCATAAATGGAAGTTCACAATTTCATTGTGTGTTCAGTAATGTTTGTACGGAGTGTTTCTTTTGCCTGTCCTTAGCAAAGAACTTCTATGACTCTTCTGAACCATCTTTTCACTCTCCATACCACATCCAGATGTGGAAAATTGCAAACAGTGACTTAATAATAAACAGGTCAAACATCACTTATGATGGAGCACATGGTAAAAAAAGAGAAAATAAAACATTATATCAAATCCTGTCTTCCAGATACCCTTCTCGTACTACGATTTCCAACAAAGAAGACTTGACCATGCTATAGTCAATGCTACAAGTTCACAACTTCTACTTAAACTCATGATGTAGCACAAGAGGCTATTCAGCCCATTGTGCTTACAGAAGAGCTAATCAATTTCACTAGCTACTCTTCCGCAACCGTTCTGTTAATACTTTTTGTTTCAAACATTTATTCGAATTTCTTTTGAATGTTACTACATAATCTACCTTTTCAGACATTCCAGATCACAACTAGCTGTGTAAAAATGCTCCCTCACTTTGCCTCTAGTTCATTTGTCATTCATCTTAAATCTGTGCTGTCTGGTTACAGACCCTTTGCCATTCACAACAGTTTCTCCTTGGTCACACTACCAAAGCAATTCATGATTTTGAACACATCTGTCAAATCTTACCTCTTTCTGTCATAAGAAGGAGATGTGCTGTTATCAAATTGATAGAGATAAAACATTAGTTACTGAGATAACAAGGTGTAGAGCTGGATGAACACAGCAGACCAAGCAGCATCAGGG